ATGACAGTATAAACTGAAAAACTAGTGGCCCTCTGATAAGTTTAATAGAGTCGTTCAAATGTTGGGACGCTTTCGCTGAATCGTGAACATAAAGTGCCTTCGAAACGCTTTCGAGATGATCCAACATTTCAAGGTTGAACTTATAGTTCCTTTCGTTTCAAGGTTAAGAAAATTTAAGCTCGCGCTCGACTTTGAGCTGTTTAGAGACAGATAACGCGCTATCGGCGTCGGTAGAAGCCTTCTCAAACTTAGAGGAGAGTTCAGAAGTGTAAGACTTGAGCTGCTCGAGTAGGAAGATGCCGGCGGAACTCGGTTAAGTCTTGTCAAGTAACTGTTTCTTTGTCGTCGCCCGGCATTGAACGAAAAACTCAACGGAAATAAAACAACTACGACTCGAGTAAACTGGTCGGCGTCAAGTGGCGGGATATTCACAAGGAGTGATATATCAAGGCCTAATTAACCCAATGGGAACTATACAAAGCAACCTAATTAAACACCTAAAAGATATACATTTTTTCACTTTTTACAATCTGACAGTGGTTTTGAGAAATGTAAATCCCTTTTCGTAAATATTTGATGCCATCTCCAGTGAAAAAAGTTGTCTGATTTCAATGCTATTCCTCTTAACTTACATTGACGTCAGCACAGTGAAGTTTTTCCCGCCTGCTGAATCCTGATTGGTCAATTCAATTTTCAGGCGCGCCTGCCGTATGCAAGGAATAGTTACAAGCTATTTCCATTTATTTTAAAGGTCTGTCCATGAGAAAACCAGGCAGGTGGTTATACAGCTCAAATCACCGATTTCGCTTAAACTTGGCACAAATGTTGGGTTTGATGAAGAAATGATTATGGAAAAACTTAGCTCAAAATATTTTAATTTACTCGAAGTTAGGGGGTCCCCTGCAAATATGGCCATTTGTCTCTAATTTATGGATATTTATTAAGCTGTCTTTGGTTTAGTATTTCTACAACAAAAAAGGCCATTTTTTGTGAAAATGAAATCCACTGGATCTTGTTGATATTCTTCTATTATCAGTCTCAAAGCGCAGATATTCATTTGAACTAGGCAATTTCCCTCAACTTATTTTTCCAGGTGTAAATTAGTATAGAAAGAAGAAATAACCACTACGCAAGTCTCCTGTTTCTCTTTGATTCTTCGATTGCGAAATGTCCAGTTTTGTGTCATCTGTTCGGTTGCTTCGACTCGAGTTTTAAAGAGAATATTCACTGCCATTTCGTTTTCATCGTCAAAGACATCAAAACGTTGTCGAAAAAGTTACTCAGAAGGCCACTCAAAATCCAGGGACAGCCATCACTACCGCTTCAACATGCAGATTTCTTTTAATATCCCCCGCTCAGTTTAGTGTAAAACAAAAGCAAGACAAGGTGCGCGCCTATTTATAAACAGCTGACGAATAATCGAATACGTTTCGGTTTTCAGGTTTTTGTCCAACATTTTCGAATATGTAACCTAAAGTCAAATATTAAATGCCATTAGAAACAGTTGGTCAAACTAAAATGACAAATGAGCAACCAGTTAAATGGAGTTGAATATTTATAACAGGGTAAGTCATTCCTTTTATTATCGGTTTATCGCCAAGAGAGAATAATCGATCTTTTTTCAAAAAATGAAAAGTGTGAAAATCATTTGTATTGAATATTTTGCTGACTAACCAACCATGCTGTTAGGCATTGAAGAAATATAAACGCAAATAAAAACCAGTTCGAAAATGAAAGTTTGATCTAACTTGCAATGAAGAAGAACAAACAATCCTTACTTTTCGCATCGAATTTTTCAAACTTGAGTGAACTGACGTTACCTTAATTCGAAGGACGTTACAAGAAATATTATACCCCACGATTACCATGCTATCACTCCTAAGAGGCACCAATGTTGAATCTTGTATTGATTATTGATAGAATGTTAGGTTGAAGGGACATTTAATTACCAGCCAGAAGCGCAGTACAACACACACAAAAAATAATTGTAATAAACTTTTATTTTGTACATATTACAACCAGTTACATAACTTACACAACTGATAATTATAATACTTACGTACGCAAACAGGTTTTCTACTGTACAAAATCGCTGTTTATTATCCGACTGCAGCGAAAACCGTCCATATATTAGTACAAATATACGGCGATATTGTACAGCAGAAAACCTGTTTACCAAATTTGTGCAGTGGAAAACCTGTTTGCCGTACAGGTCGGCGCGTGCACGCAAAACTGTGACACTCTCCCTCTTTCATAGATAAATTTATTGACTACAGCAGTTGGATAATAAATCTCTTATTAGATTTTTTGGTGTGTAGTACCGCTGTATGTTTTTACTCGTTGTTTGTATTTTGACTCGCCCTACGGGCTCGTCAAAATACGGCACAACTCGTAAAATATATAAAGCGATACTACACACCAAAACATCTAATAAGATATATGTATTTGTACTGTTATTTGGACGGTATCCGCTGCAGTTGGATAATAAAAAGCAATACTACACACCAAAACATCTAATAAGAGATTTATTATCCAACTGCTGTAGTCAATAAATTTATCAATGAAAGAGGGAGAGTGTGACAGTTTTGCGTGCGCGCGCCGATCTCTACGGCAAACAGGTTTTCTACTGTACAAATATTTGTAAAATATCGCTGTATATGTGTTTTGCTATTTGGACGGTATTCGCCGCATTTGGATAATAATACAACTACTTACACCACTTAGAATACAACACAGCTACTTTACATCATTTGGAAATACTTTTAAAGATACTTTTCATTGTTTTTGGTACACTACAATATTCGTACAGCTACTTTACACTATTTTCGATACTAATACAGCTACTTTACATTATTCACTATACGTACACTGCAACTTTATATTCTTTAAGATACCAATACAGCTACATTATGCTATTTGCAAAACTGAATACAGAGCATTTCTGGGCCTAACCATAGTTTCATTGCTTCTGTTTATTAGCGGCTTAGAATGACACTAGAATGATCAGAACCTCCGCCCGTCCTCTTTTCGGTGAGGAACAAAGATCGCACTCGATAGAGCGGCGGAAATCGAGCCTGTAAGATATCCTGGTAGGTACCACAATCAATATTTTTAGTAGGTTTAAAAATGCATGTGCAACTGAACAATCTAAGTCCTACCAAAAGACAATTGTCGGCCCT